GGATAAGCCACGAGTAGCTTCTGAGCTCTGGCGGGACACACTGGCCGGTGCCAGGAATGTAAACCTGACCGCGCCTCCTGCATTCGCTGCCCACGGGTGGGAGGGCTGTCCCCCGGCGCTGCAGAGGCTTGGGGGGGCAGGGGGGCGCGGGGAAAAGCCACATGCGAAATTTCTAAACAAAAATGGCAGCTTGGGGCGTGGGGGCCCCGGGGTTTTCAGAGAGCGTGGGCGGCGGAGTCCCGATGGCCTTTAGGGTGGCCCTGCGGTCCCAGGACGCAGCCTGAGGCCCCGCCTCCCTCGCAGGGGGCCAGCGGCTCGGGGCAGGGCGCCGCCCACCCTCGGTCCCCGAGGTCCCGCCGCGGATGCCGCTTCCTGCACCCCACAAGCCTCCGTCCCAGTGATGTTGCAAAGTGACAAAACGTACACCCCACCCGCCGCGAGGTCCCCCGGAAGGCACATGCCTCCCCGACACCGGCCCGGGGTTTCCGTCCTCGGACGGCCCCCGACGGCGGGACGTTGAAGCGGAAAGTGCTCGCCGGGTCCGCTGGCGCCGCCGCGTGTCCCTCCGCGGCCGCCTGCCCGCCCCGGCGCAGCCCTTACCGGTACTTCATGCCCGTGCGCTGGGCGGTGCAGCCGTCCAGGGAGAGGCCGTGCGTGCGGAGGAAGCGCTCCATGTTCCTGGCCTGGGCGGCCGCCCGCACCTCCCGCAGCCGCTGCAGCTCCAGCGTGTCGGTCTGGCGGGCGGGCTGCGGGCCCCAGTCGGAGTGGCACCTGCTGCTCACGCTCCGCAGGCTTTCGCTGTAGGTCATGGACAACATGGTGCCCCCGGGCTGGGGGCCTCCGCTGTCCGGACGGGAAGCACCGGGGGCGGAGGTCAGCGGCCTGCGCGCCGCACCTGCTGGCCCCGCCCCGCGGCGGGGTGGCAGAGGCGCCCCGGGGCCTGGATGTAAACCGGCTCGGTTCTCCAAGCTGCGCTGGCCGGACGCTCTGGCCCAGCCCGCTCCTCTGTCCACCCCTCGCGCGACAAGCACAGGCCAAGCTGCCCCCAAGCGCAGAGCTCAGCGGCTCCAAGGCGAACGCCGGCATGCAGGGCC